CTAGATCGGGCTTGTGATGGTGATCTGGATTGTGAAGGTGATCTAGATCGTTGTGGTGATCTAGAATGATGTGGCGATCTGGATCGGCAATTAGGTGACGAAACCTGATTCATGTGTTGTGTTGATTCATGATGAACGTCCCCCGGCGACGCTGTTGTAGCCAGCTCCGTGCGGTTCAATGAACTGTGGGGAGACAGTTGGCTAGTTGAACGGCGGTTGGCCAGGCTCCAAACAAACTGAGACAGTCGAGGGGATATGTACCAATAATCTGGATGATGATAGTGTCGATCTAAGGTCCCCTTCCCGCTATGGAAGGAGGTGATTCATGCGTACGTAATAGGTGCCGAACATCCTCAGATAAGTAAGAATCTGATGAAGCGTCCATAAAATCCTACGATTTTCTGTTGCTGTTACTTGATACGCTTGGCAGGAGTGGGATCAGAATCTGTTGATTTCCTGTCCCTATCGGCAATTTTCCGCGAGCAAACACGAAGGTAGGCCTTAAAATCCTCATCTATTAGTGAATTACACTTGCCACATCGTTTGTTCCAGTTACATTGTCCAATACAGTCACTGCAAGACCAGTGAGGGTCGAGGGACGAATAATTCGTCTTGCATTGAGCACAAACTTTCCTTTTCCTTGACTGATTATCAGTTTTCCCCATGATGTTAGGGTGAAATAATGTCCCTAATATACAGCACGTCCACACAGTCGTGCGACAAGAAAGAGAATGATCATTCAAGGTAGTCACGTCGGCAATTAGTGGAGCATGCTGCAAGCTTTATTAGGAACTAGGAAGCTAATTAAGGAGAGCAGCATGGAGTGCACGGGCGAATGGATAAGGAGGCCTATGATAAAAGGTTTACAGTCGTTCCACTAAAAGTCGAAGCAAGAGAGGTGCAAGTCGTGAGATAGGATAATTTTAACATAAAACTTACATTATGAATTTTCAGGAAAAAGGAAATTAAGTGTTAGAGAAGCGTCAAGAATTATGAAAAATGGAAGGTCAGGACAAAACCAACAACAAACCTACATGCATCCCTGAGACATGTTAGAAATTCTATGTCACTTTCAAATATGACAATAATGTGGGTTAAAATCTCAGATTGGACTCACCCCCCAACAGTACTAGAAACTGTACTCAACTGAAAAAGTGCAATCCTAAATATATGTTTACATTCTAAAATGGCACTGTGTATTTGTGCTCTGAATGTCTTGAAATACATAATTTTAGGTCAATATTTTGAAAAGAATGGCCAGGGACACATGCAGTCACAATCACAACTTTGTAAGATTATAAATATAAATTCCCATATTCTCATTTGCTCATTGAATAATGTTAAGATTTTTAGAGATATGGAAACATGCTCAATTGAGATCATGCACAAGGCTCATCTTTAAAAGCCAACATTGTTTTTTAAATTAAAGGTCACATAAACCCTAGGGGGTACAAATACATAAATCACTAACTGGCATCGTTATAAATGAAACCCCGTCATTAAAACTACTCATTTCGACCTTTAATTGACTTAAATCGACCTTTTTGACAACAGTGCACAATTCTCACCCGCGAACGAAATTTCAACCAATCAGAGCGGCGCGCCTCTGTGACGTCATATGAGGAATAGCTTTGAGAGCCGATGCAGAATTCATCTACATTTTAGGGGGTAAATTATCGTGTTTACAGGCTTGTATAAACCTGAAATCGTGACAATTGTTGTGGAAAATGAAAGCTATATGTTCTCACAATCTACTGTCATTTAATTTTGTCTCCTGCTTTGCCTAGTTTCCAAGTTACAACTTGTTTTCATAGATGATTCTGTCAAAATCGATTGGTGTCGTTAGGCCCTATTTGTATAATGACTGATCCAAATTGATCCCATTTCTGTGTTGTTTTACCTCGATATTTAATCATGTCATGTAAAAATCTGTTTGTATTCTCAAAACAGTGTCGGCCCATAAGTTTTCACATGCAATACAGCAATTAATACTCCCTCGTTGTAACCCGTGTTAGGGGGTATAAACCTACACATGTTATTTGTCATCATTCACTTGATGGTCAGTTAATGAATTTATAACAGGTATAATTAGTGGTAACACGCTTAGATTACCCGACAAAGGTTCCCATTTGGCATTTCTTGTGTCTGGAGTAAATATTCAACATTATAAACATCGATCAAAGGATTAACCGATAACACGCTGATTGATTAATTACTTTTATCTTACACAGCGGAATTGTCAAAAGGTAGTGTTTATGTATGTAGATTTACTAATCTATACTGAATACACTCTGTCGGGTCGGTGTCTGCGTAAAAACAACGTCCTTCTTTCAAAGGATTAACCGGCAATACATTGATTGATTGCCCATTATTGGCTAACTAAATTACTGTTTTTAAAGAAAGGCGGACATTATGCAATTAGTTGCCAGTTGTGCTATCTTGGGTGACCAATGAGACTACATGTATACACCAATACCTGAAAAGATTTATCACTTTTTCGTATATTAAACTGTTAAAAGACACATCATTTGGAACAGTTTTGTGGATATTGATGGATACATTCCTCGAACAAGGTAATGGCCTGTTTTAATTTTAATATTTGCATTTTGTTTTTATTCATTTGTCGTAGCATTCAACAGAATCATTGTTTTCGCCGTGAAGTGTAATGAGACAGACAACATGCACTAGGGTGTGTGTGCGAATTATGATTCACATTTGCAAACTATAAAATGTCTAGATATTACAGTTCTGTTATAAATTCACTATAAGTATCAGCAGATCGTCTGCTTTTTATTTAGTTTCAAAATGCATACAAGTGTGATAATAAACTAATTAGGATTATAAGACCAAATATAAAGACGCATTACTGACTAGTATCTACATACTGGTGAGTGGACATTAACCATGGGAATGTAGCAAGAAATTTATCGCCAAGCAGTATTGTGACTTCGACCCCACCTCGCTTCCGTGGAAGAAATCGTTATGTTATAAGTTGTGTCATGCAAAATCCGCTTGGTTATGATTCCAATACATATTTAACAACGAAAGTAGAAAGTAGTCTTGATTTTCTAACTTGATGAAAACAAACTATAATCTCATTAATTCTAACAGATTTTTTATATTTAAAATGGTGGCGCTCTGTCGGGAACATCCGCCAGTCTGAGGATAAATGGTATTTAGGTTTGTTTTCACTGAAGTTATAAAATCAAAACTACTTTCTACTGGTAGTAAAATATGTATTTGATTGATGGCCAATAGGATTTTGCATGACATAAGCATTATATCATAACAATTCTCTCGTGGCAGCGAGGTGGGTGTCAATATAATACTACTTACAATATTATTGTTACTTCGACCACAACCTCACTTCCGAAAGTAAGAAATCGTTATGTTACAAGTTGTGTCATAGAAAATCTTTATGGTCATCAATCATATGCATATTTTACTACAACTAGTAAGTAGTTTTGATTCTTTAACTTCCGTGAAGCGATCTGAACACAAGTAAGATATCGTTTCAGGCTTCCACAACGCTCACTTCGCGACTCACAAACATAACTTATTTAGCACCTAACTGCGGGTCCTGTGGAAATCTGTGCATGGGGACACCATCGCCCGACCCCTAGGAGCATTTGGCGACAAAGCAACGATTCGGGCATGTCGTCGTTGATGTCGAGAAATCATCAAAATGATGAGCGTGCTACACATTTTCTATACAACTAACTGAAAATCGTTCCTCATATGACGTCACTGCAGTGCTCTGGCGACAGAGTTACGTAACCTGTCTGTGGTTTCGTTGGCGGGCGAGAGGGAAGCAGGCGACTTTTAGGCCACTTTTAATCGCTCGGTATTAATTAACCACAAGTTTTTAAAGAATAAATTTGGTGTTCCGCATAAGACTAACCACAAATCTTTCATATGTAATGGTTAAAAGAGTAACAAAAAACAAAGTTTAGTGGTTCTTTAAATGAGCAATCATACTTTGTTGTAACTTTATCTTATTATACACTGAGTGAATAATACCTCCAGTAAAATATCTTCATATTTTGTCAATTTATTCTTGAATATTGACTGTAACTTACCTAAGAGCAAGTTTACAGGGGCACAACAAGCCCTGCTCATAATGCACAATTCAATCTGCCACACCAGGTGTTAACTAACAGTTGTGCAGCTGTTGGTGAACCAGATTGACACATTTTAGAAATTCAATATTTTCCTTCCTTGCCTGTACATATTATATTTGTAGATAACTAAGTACGTGGATATACTAGGCACAATGATACAAATAGTTCTTAACTTTTCATACACAAATAAAATGGGTGTATTTCCTTGCAATTCAGATGTCTTAAAGCATTTAATGGTTCATTCTTTTACCTGTACTCTGTTTTGATGACAAAAACCCCAACAAGTGCCAACCAACTGTGTACAGTAAGTAAGCTAACTGGATGATCTTCTGGAGGTTCAATTCCTTATATTGGTGAAGACAGTTTGTGGACATATGTACCAGGTAAAACACTTAAAGATTAAAGGCCAACATGTACTTGTCTCTGTGTTTCCTTAACCAACAGGCAATTTGACAAGGACCATAGGACAAGAGCCAGCTACCACTATTGTTTGCAGTAGATAATTACAGGAATTGCCACAGAACAAAGACCTGATCAACAGACTTGTTACATGGCACTTCCTGTAGATTCCTACAAAGAGCCCATACTTCAACTGGTATAACAGAGTATCTAAAGTCAGCTTATCTGTTTCACTTGAATCAATTTCTGAAGACAGTGTCTCTTAAAGGAATAGTATGTTGACCAATCAAAAAACATGTTTGCAATTGACAGCCAATACAACCAATACACCCAAGCTTACATGGTTCTGCTAACATCATTCCATGAGAGATTTTGCTGCTCGTGTTATCACATGGAGGGTGTGTAGGCTTATCACATGAAGGGATTTTTTCTCTTATTTGCGTTGCGGCGGGGGACAATAAGATGATACTATTGACCTACCTCAGTCATGTCCTCCATATACTTGGCATTGTAACTGTTGAGGTCATTCAAAGATGCCTGGTACTTGTCACGTGTTACATTCACTTCTTCCTGCAGCTTCCGTAGCTTTTCTTGCAATTTTTTCAGCTGAAAATTCAGGTTCTTCAAATGTTAGCTCTTTTTCTCATAACTGGATCACGATACAATTGCTGAATTTATACAGTTAAACACAGCTTGGTCAAACTGATCAGGTCTTTAACTAAAGAGAATCTAATGGTGCATAATGTAGGTGGGCCTACCTGATCTGGGGACACTGCTGTGTCTGCACGAGCATTGTTCTCCTGGTTAGCTGTGCTCTTCTCCTGGCGGCAGACATTGTGGTAATCCTTTCTAGCGGTCAGCACTTTAGTCAACTTCTTTCCCCAAGGTTTCTGAGCCTACAAATATAGCAAAATGCTGGAATGCCTTTATATTTATGGCCTCTAGTGGCTGAAATTTTGCAGAAGTTAGAATTACTACTTATCTTTCTATTCTCAAAACGGAGAGAAAACTTTTCATTCCTCAAAAGACACAAGACAGTGCAGAGTCACAAGTTCAGAATAGTTCAGAACCGCCCTTGTTTCTCCTCTTGGAAAGATCATCTCCTTAATTTCTCTAAGGAAGGATGGGAACCAAGAAGACAGGAGGACGTTATCTTTGTCACACAAGGATAACAATATGGTTCAAGAAATATTCAAATAACTATCCCAATATAACAGAATGCAATTATCCAACAACTCAGTTGTTAGGGCTGAGAAGTGTGGCATCATCCCTTGACTCCTATATTGTCCCAAACTTTGATATTAGATAAGGAACTTTCCACTTTTGTCATTATTTACAAATTATTTCTTTTTTCAAATATAAATTAAATCGTTTCATTATTCTCACAAATTTCATTGTAAATTTGGCAAAAATGTCTTGGTGTGAGAAGAATGAAATGGTAACATATGGTATTTTTTCTGATATAACTTGTATACTTAAGACTGAAGATATGTTATGTATACATTGATATTAAAGCTGCTTTCAGTTATCATAAAATATCAGTCTAACTGTTAAATTATTCTTTTGAAATACTTAAATCTTAGCAAATACGCATGTTACACCACTGATATTTTTGTTACCTCGCCTGTTACACCACTGAACTTTCTGCAACTTACTGGAGCAATAAACCAAATCAACAGCCATATGATGCTTTGAATTACTTAATAATCATCATTTTAGAACGATTTTCCAAAATGTGGCATGGAAAAACAAATAATATCAACAGGTAAGGATAAAATGTACAAATTCAAAGAATTTTATGACACCAATGGCATATTGTGTTACACCACTGATTTTTCTTGACCTTACTCCAAAGATAAATCCAAATTAATTGCCTTTAGTTGATAATTAACAGATTTGAGCAGCTCAATAGCAAATTCTCTGAACACTCAGAGTCAGATTTTAAAAGGTTTTCAAAAATATATTTAAAGAAATAAAATGAACATATTGTAGTAATATTGTTACACCAATGACATCATTTGTTACATCACTGATATTTCTTGAATTAACTACAAGGATAAATCCAAATTAATTGCCTTTAGTTGATAATTAACAGATTTGAACAGCTCAATAGCAAATTCTTAACACTCAGATTTTAAAAGGTTTTTCAAAAATAATATTATAATAATATAATAATAATAATAAAATGAACATATTGTAGTAATATTATTACACCAATGACATCTTTTGTTACCCCACTGATTTATGTGAACCTTTTATCAGAGGTAGAGATAACCTGTGTATCTGCGTAAATTACGCAAATATTTATGTGACAACTCAATTCCTACTAAGTCTATTGCGTACAAGTATGATTCAATTTTTGTAAATACTCAATAGATTTGATATTACATGCGTACAACCAAAATAGATAAAATATCTGAGGTATATTGAGAGTTTCTATTTCAGCACCTGTCGTTTCTCATATAACAGATCAAACATAAATAACAAACACGTAAACCAACATTTATACTTTAATATATGTTTACAATTAATGGAATATGGCAAAATACCCAAATGAGTTAGAGTGAGGTGGGTACAATTTATTTGGTTTCTCAAAGGAACATTAGGATACCCAATTAAGATGAACACAAGCGAGTACATAACTCAATGACCCAAAAAGTTCTGTTTTATACTAATTTACCAGAACAAATTACCTTAAAGGTCACATGCAACCAAAAAATCAAACATAATTAGAACACAATTATCACTTATTCGTGACATATAATATACATTGCTGGTTATGAAAAAACATATAAACAAAATTATAAGCGTACAATCGCAAATCAAAAGTGCAATATTGTGTACTTCGGTTTACTTCCCAAGAAACGAAGCAGCCGGGATACCGAACCCAGTCAGAGCGGATGGGTGTGCACTCAAGTGTAACGGCTGGTTCATTTGCGTATGCCCTCACGGCTTATTGTGTGTGTGTAGAGATGTTGGGTTTTGTAAATACATGCTCATTTTTTGTGTATAACATTTTGCAATCAACAGACATCATAACATGTCAAGTGTTCAACTATCACACCTGCCTGTCTGTGTAATTACATAATGTGACAGAGACCGAACTCGGGCCATAAATCAATGCATTTTGTTTATGGTGTATAGCCTGATTGGTGTTAAGTTCAAATTGCATGTGGTCAGTGATAGCAGCTGTGTATTAAATATTGTCATTAGCAGACAGGCAGGCAGACACACAGGTGTCAATAAAACAAGACATTGAGTTTTGTCTGTGACAACGACATATCTATATCACAGTTAGAAATTCTGTCAACGCTAAATAATGACATTGCTTTTAAGTATCGAACTGAGAAAGTGACTCGATAAGAAGAACGTGTGGTGAAATTATATAAACAGTTAATTTACTGTCATAACATATAAAAAGCTCGCGCCTGTGAGATATCAACGAAAACATTAGAAAAATAGCTCACACCAAAGCCTTCACCGAGTATTCACCAGACAACCCGCTTCCAAGCTGCGCGAACCTATTTCACTGCGCACGTGCTAAGAGCGCAGCCCAGCTGTTGAAACCACTTTTCCCCAGAAAAGTCTGGGGAAAATTAGTGAAACGTTTGAACTCCGATTTTGCGCGCGTTTTTTTTCATCGCGTTATTTTTCAACTTTATAAGTTGAATTTGCATTTTTGACGATTTGTTTCGGTAAGTCCATACCGAAAGGTATCAGAATCTGCAAAGTTGTGTTTTACGTTGCATGTGACCTTTAACAGACTTTACATGACTTAATGGTAATAAAATATACTGGATATATACAATGCAATACAGTTAAGTTCTGTGAACAAGTGACTTGAGTGAACATTTTGTCAGTGGTTTAACAAAAACTGTCAATAGTGTAACATTTTCCCATGATATATCACTGACAGTTACACCACTGACCTATTCCCACTTTTATGAACTTTATAACAATTAATGCTCCCTAATCACTGACCACAAGGCATAAATGTTGATGTTTCATTACCTTTGATTTACTTTAAATAAACAATGTTATGAAAAAGTACATATGAATAAGTTATCAGTGTTACACAACTGACTCAATAAAAAGTTATGATACAAAGTAGACTCACCAATTTCATCAAACTTCAACATCAAAATAAAATTTTGCCTCCACAAAACTTCTGCTATGAGGAGGAAGTCATCAGCAAAGGGACCAGTTAGTATTTCATAGTTTAATCAAGGGAGATAATTATTAATGTCACAAGTTTAAATTGGTTACACCACTGACTGTGACATTTTGGACATTCATTGTTTTCATCGTAATTATGTGATTTTAATTTTCTTTTCAATATTTCATGCAGGAATATGTGATTAATATTGGTATTTCATTTTAAATCTTTAAAAAAATATATATAAATGGCCTGGAATTTAAACTTTAATGTAATGTTGATGTCCACTGACAGTTTTTTTTTCTTTCAAAATAATGATAAAAAACCCAATTTGTCCCAAAAATAACAAACAGGTACAACATTTTACATCATTATGGGGAACAAAAACCATTTTCCTTTGATATGATTTTTAGAAAAAAAAATGAAATATTATTTTCAGAGCAATGTGCTACTGACCAAAAGTTTTGAGAATGACCCATTCTAATGCGCAAAATCATAGGCGGATCCAGAAAGTTTCAAAGGTTCGAAACACACACCCCCCCCCCCCTTCTGGATACGCCACTGCAAATGGCCCATGGCCCCTGCCTTTCCCAATCCCAGCATGAAATCAGCTATCTTTGAACACTAAATCAAGAATCCTAGCCATAAGATCAAGTGGGACTCCTCAAAAATCTAAAACAGCAGCAGCAACAACAACTGGAGTCAACAAAAACTCCAAGAAGCCATAGGAAAAAACAACAAAAAACCACCAGCCATGACCAGGACATCAGTTTGCCAAGTGGTTGGGCTCATTGTTGATTTTCTTGTGTTCTCAGTAAACTGCTGTCTCTGATATCTCTTGATTGCTCCCTATCAGTATGATCTATCTCTCAACAACCCTCCCAGGCTTGTAGCAACTACCTGGCTTAGCAAAAATTCATCTACTTTGTTATATGTATATAAACTGTTCTTGGTTTGTGCTATTATCAATTGTTTTCCTCTTTTTCTTGTTATGTACATTGCACAAAGAGTATGTACATCCACATCCACTCTGTAATTAATAATTATCCTGTCAATACTATAAATGACTATATAGTGTTTACAGAATAACACTGTTACTTTTTGTTATGTTGTTTGTCCGACACTGAAGAGGGCATAAATGTTGCCTGGACGTAGTCATTGTCAAGCTTGCATCAATGCCAATTTTGGACAAACACATTACCGAATTTGTGATCTGACTTTTGACACCACATTTCTCCAAGGGTGTGCCTTATGTCAAATCATACAAATTTCGATATTATCCTGTCAACAGTTAAACACTGATTAAGGAAAACACCACAAATCATGTTCTTATCTTTATGCATTAAAAAATGGCACAACATCAAATAATGCACAGCTACGTTATTCCAGTAGTATACTTGCTATGCAGGACAAGATGGCCTTAAAACATTTCCATGGCCTTAAATGATTTGGGTTTACTTCCAAACATTTTTGAGTCTGTCAAAGCATTATAACTGGTAAAAAAACAGTTTCAAGTTGATTTTGAACTTCAAGAAAAATGTAATTTTGCAAGTAAAATTGATATTTTTATACTTATCCTGACTCGTGATCTTTTGCTTATCTCCCTTTCCCTTGCGAATGGTAGTGGAACACTTGAATCCCTTGAAGTTCCCAAAGTGGACATAAAAATACACTCACCCACAAGTTACCTCCCTTTTCCCACGTAAACAGTCATGTGACCAGCCTTACTTGTCACTCTCTCCCGACTTTTCTGCAATCCGAAGTGTTTCCTGCGGGGAGGTCGGGAGGGCTTGACCTCATGAGTCAGGATAAGTATATAAATATCAATTTTACTTGAAAAATTACATATTTTTTGTTATCCTGACTCATGATCTTTTTGCTTGTAGAATCCTGCGGATTGGTGGTGGGTCAGGCCACTTCCTGGATTCATCAGCTGTCCTTAGATACGTCCTGTATCCCCCATGGGAACTGGGCGTAGCAGCATTTCTGAGATCCTATTCTTCCAACTTCCGTTATAACTCGGGGGGACCACTTTCTTGTCTTACTTCCATCTCAGACAAGTTGAATCATCTTGATTCATGTGGCTTCAGATAAACTAGTATCTTCTTATTACTAGATATCTTATACCAACCCATAGATTATGATAAGATCTTTATCATAAATGAGTTGCGACCCCTTCACGTACAGGTAAGATCTTTACCCGTACAGGATCTTTAATCACTCATGCTAGTCTGTCCTAGACTGTGTGCATGGACTTTAAAACTAATACTTTTCCTTAGTAAAAGTTATCAATAAGTCAACGTGATAAAGTGTGAGATTTTCCAACTCAGTGCCTTTGAGGAACCGTTAGTTTCTGTGCTACCATGAGAGGCCCAAATTGGTGAATGCCTGAGATGTCTTCAGTGGCTATGTCTCGGAGGTAGTGGTTGGCAAACACCGTATCCGACTTCCAAAAGCAGCCCTCCATAATTGCTGATATAGAGCAATTTCCGTGCAGAGCCAATGTTGACGCCAGTGCTCTGACTGACTGAGTTTGGTGTTACGCCTCTTTCAGCAATATTCCAGCAACATCATGGCGGGGGACACCAGAAATGGGCTTCACACATTTTACCCATGTGGGGATTCGAACACGGGTCTTCGGCATGACGAGCCAACGTTTTAACCACTAGGATACCCCACCGCTCCCCAGTGCTCTGACTTCGTGTGGGTTGGAAGCTCTAGGTTCTAGTCCTGCTGCTTTATAGGCACTCAATATGACAGCTCTCATCCAAAACGATATCGTCGTTCTTGAGACTTCTACTGATGTCTCTGTTGATAATGGGATGAACAGGCACTTGAATTTTCGCAATTTCCGTGCAGAGCCAATGTTGACGCCAGTGCTCTGACTGACTGAGTTTGGTGTTACGCCTCTTTCAGCAATATTCCAGCAACATCACGGCGGGGGACACCAGAAATGGGCTTCACACATTTTAGCCATGTGGGGATTCGAACACGGGTCTTCGGCGTGACGAGCCAACGTTTTAACCACTAGGCTACCCCACCGCTCCCCAGTGCTCTGACTTCGTGTGGGTTGGAAGCTCTAGGTTCTAG